CAGACGACACCTATGAGAAGATATTAACCAAGGAACCAGTTTACCCTGCCAGGGATAAGCTTATTGTGTCCCCACCCCCAGGGTGGAGGCACAATTAGCTGAGAAGGGAGCTCAAGGAAGAGCGCCTGTTTGCCCCCTTTGCTCATGGAGCCTGGCTGGGTGCAGCCTTAGAGGAGTCATGGGCCTGCCCGTCTGTAATTCCACCAATAGCACGAGGCACAGGTCAGGTGCTATGTGTGTTAGGCAGCAGTCAATGGTGGTCCAATCCACCCTACTTAATGGTTTTAATGGAATCTCCTACCATTACTATGCAGATAACACAGAGTTACACTTCTCTGTCAAGCCCAACAACCTCAACAGCCTTAGATACCTCTGCCTTTGTAAATACAGATGTTGCTCTATGGACAATCCTACACTCAGGAATCCTGCTCATGTTGGTCACTTTATTTCACTCATACTGTAAACTTTAAAGCTGCTACGTTGGTCACTTTAAACCACTTCAAGGTCACTTTAAATGAAAGTTAGACTGTTATTGATCCTTTTTACCTAAAAATGTATATTTACTCCCCTTACTTTAATTTTAAAGTGCATATTTATTTCTTACACTTCTTATATTTATTGTTGTCTTTTTGCACTGAATGGAACTGGAGCCTCATCGTCTCGTCTCTGCTATATACTGTGCTGTATATAGCAGAGATGACAATAAAGTTTACTTTGATTTTGACTTTGACTTTAACTCAGACGCACAGCTAGACACAGCTCCGGCTCACTCCGCTCTCTGAAATGATTTCTCTGCCTCATATATGTTCCCAGTTCTGGTAACAAGAGTTCAAACTGCCCCGCTGACATCCTGAAATATGTACGAAAGCAGCCACGAACAGCTTCAACTATGAAATTCTCCCTGCTGCTGCATTCTCGTGACAATTGGATGAAACCAGAGTGTCAGTTTCTGCTTTTCCTCGTTTAGGAACATCAGGACCATCTCTTCATGTCAACTTCCTTTTTTTC